CTCTCCCTTTCAAAGGAAGAGAACAAAAACGAGAAGGAAAAACACAAGACTATACATCAACAAAACAAAGCCATCACATTAACCGATGCAAAGATCGGGAAACCTATTACCCATCACATTAATCTCTCTTCATCTACACCCAGATTTGCTAGAAAGTCAGCAAACCTATTACCTTCTATTAGAATATGTTTGAACATCACAAGAATAATTGCTATTTTTCTCACGATACAAGTCACACACTCCATGGATGGAAGGTGAGAATTCCCTATCATGGTTTCAACTAAACAAGGAGCTATTACTTGGTTGAATCCTTTGAGTTTGAATTGATTTCATCTTTGACTATCCCAATTCATACAAGTTCCGCTTCTGTACGATGTTATGCGCTACTCACTTATCAATCGAAGCCATTGAAGTTTCAAATTTTTAGTTGTGTTCTGTTCTTTCAATTGTAAAAGGGGTGTAAATAAGTTTTTGAAATTGAAGTATTTCATCTAATATTACTGTGGGCTTTCTCAAATTTCAATCCTTTTGGTTTGTTTTCTAAGTCAAGTACCAGGAAAATGATTTAAATTTTTCGCTCAAAGCCTCAAACTAATCAAGTCAATCTGACACTCGGATTAAACCCAGCTCTCCACCGGCTTATGTTCACCTTTTCTTTTGGGATTTGTGAATGACAGCCATTGAATCGAAAGCTATTCCTTTACAAATGCGAATCATTTAATATTTTTCCTTTGCCACGTGGCAAATGTATCATATGCTTATTTCTACAACATGGAAAGTGGCATGACAAAAATGTTTTGCCCTTCAAAATTCAATTGCTACCATACCACAATAAGGACAAGTGGTCGAGCGCTTGGACTTATTTTTGGTTCGACCACGTGAACCGCTACTACGTGCAAAGCTCGAAGGCAATGCAACAGCTAGCATTTGAATGCTTTTGTTGGGACTAAAGAGATGGTTGAGTCCAGAATCCAGATCATTTACGCGAGAAAACATTTAGACATGCTGTGAAGACTGAAGAGGACAGGTACCAAACTCAACTATGCTTGTTATGGTTGTGGACACCAGCTCACCAAGAGTTCTAAGTCCCAAGTTGGTATACCGAAATCAGACCAGGCTTAGGGTGGGCCTATGCAAAAGCTAGAAAGATCTGGGACAGAACCCTAAACCAAGTTCCTTTTAATTTACACCCCCATTAATTTAGAAATACCAAGTTTGATTGGGTGGAATCAGAATCTCATTTTCATTCCTGTTGGGATAGTATTTTCCCATTTGAGGGAATTGGCACCTTGCCTTTCCTTCGAGAATGTAATTCAATCCTTGCTGATTTTAATTTTCATTTTCATTCTTTTCTGAATCAAATAGATTATAAGAATAGACTATTTCGGTTCCAATTTCAGAAGATTTTGATTCCAATTCCAATTACGAACCAAATAGACCCTAAATTTATAGATAAAACATTTTCTCCATATTAATTGAGCTTTTGCCAACTGCCACTCAACTTTCGAGTAATCCTTTCAGTTCCCACTTTCTCAGGTTTGGCTTTAAGAATTTCCTTCTTTATTAATAGAAAACTAAAGGTGTCATAGGGAAGCCAGAGAGAGAGATGAGCTCAAGCGAGATGAATCCACCAGCAATATAAGCATAAAATCGAGAAGAAAATAAGAAAATGATGAATGGAAGTTGGGTGCTAAAGATTTGGAAGGTCCCTGCAGTAAATTAACTAGCCTTGCAAGTTGCAACATTTACTTGCTTTAACTTGGAAAGAAAGCGATGTTTCAACCATTCAACTAACATTTAAAAATAGGGAACGAAGCAAGTACAGATGAGGGTCTGTTGCTCTGTACTGACTACTGAATGAAGTCGCTTGGCCTTTACATTTCTCAAATATTAAGTTTTCTTAAACGTGTTGTTGTCGCCTGTCAATTGTCTTATAGTCATGAGCACCTTAAGTAGACTTGGTAAAAAGTTGACCCGACCTGATCCAATCCAATTTAACCCGAACAAAGCAGGTTAGGGTCGGGTTACCATTGGGTCACCTCTTTTTACGATAACATTTTTAAATTAATATTGACTCAGGTGGTGTTCGGTAGTGTAGTGAATCCACGAGATAGTTTGCTTCAAAATACACCACGCCAATTTAATATGTTCTGCTATGATGTGGTGTGGATTAAAACCCACTATCTGGATTACACCACACCCCAAAATATTGATCGCATCATTATCTCATGGTCACAACCATACCACAGGCCCCTCTCTCTATCTATTAATATTTATCTTATATCTAATTAATAATATTTATATTGCCATTACAATTATTATAAATTGGTATTAAAAGTAGGAATTTTACTTTTTTATGTTTTCATTAATTTTAATAATTCTAGATTAATGTTTATTAATTATTTATCATGAATATATTAGTTATCTTATGTGTGTGTTTTATATTTTTTATTATTTTTAATATTTTAGTCATTATTAATTGTTTGAATTCATTTGTTAATTTTTTTTATTAATTTGTATTTGCTATTGTTAAATTAATCACATTTTAAATTAATTTGCATTTTTCTTAAAAAACAAAAGAAAAATTATTACTATAGATTGACATTGTGGATTATCTCACATTGTGTATTTGAGATAGATAGGATCAAAACACAAGGTGTGGCCAGGACTGCACCACACCCTATAAAACACCTCTATGGGTGTGGTGTGGTTCAGACTACCTGTTTTTGTCCACAGTACAAAACACTGCTGTGGTGTAGTGTGTTCTCAGCCAAACTACAGGTGCGGTGTGGTCGAGAATACATCACTCAATTTCTCATCCATATTACAGAACACCCCCTTAGATGGTTGAACAGATCAAACTGTTTGAACCACATGGTTAAATTCACATTTTTGGTAAAAACCATTGACTTTTTCAAAGACCAGCTGACCCAAGTTGTTGAATCATTGACCTGTTTGACCCCTAACCTTAATATTTAGGATTGGGGTCTAGCCTTTGCCAGCCCAACCTGAATGGTGACCCAACTCAAAATGATCTGAAATTGCCCTGGCCCAACTTGAACCCAATTGTCAGGTCTAGCTGTAAGCCCGGGCTAGTGTATCCACTGCATGAGCCCATCCCAAGCCTCAAGTTTATCTTGCTAGCCGAAACCTGAAGGAACTTGGAAGATAACATAAAAATATATGGTTGCCCGGGTGCTGCTACTGGAACTTCACAAACACTCTCTCTCCCATAATGGAATAGACATATTCTCTCCTTTTCTTATTTAGACCTGGCCCAATGTCCCTGCAATTCTGGGTCCTAAATGGGCCCATTATAGTGAGTGTACTAGCCCATCAAATTGAGATCAAACCTAAACCTAACAGATCTATATTCGATAATCGATATGACTGTGACAATCGAGATTGAGCCCAACCCAAGCTGATTATCAGTCTTCCAAATTGCAATGGTTGTTGGTCGGTAGTAGTTGAGATAAAGGAAAGATCGTGCGGACACTCATCAAAGTAGGAAGAACATTCTGAATATCTTCCCTCTTCAAGTCACGTCTTAGCCGGACAGCAACAGTAAGGTTTGTAGCCACAGGCCCACAATGGAAGATCCATGCCTCCGACTTACAGTTAACCACTTCAGGCAGTTCTTTCATCCCTTCATTTTCTGACCCATGGACCACAGTTGGGTTCACTTTTCCACGTCAAATAATAGCTCTTGAATATTTATGTACTTCTCTTTATTTTTTTCCAAGGAAAAAGGAGTATGCAGGGCATTGCCACATCAGTACATTCTGATTGCCACATCTGTTGCCATGTGTCAGAAATATATAGAAACGGGATTTTTGAAGGGGAGTGATTTGGGCACATTCCATTTTTCATAAAAGAAGTCATACCTCCAATAGTCAGTGTAAAAGAATAAAAAAAAAAATTGAAAACGCCAATTTATGTATTCTTTTGTTTTTGTATTTAGATGATCAAGATCAATGACAATTCACTTTAATAAAAAAAAGGTTGTGCCCACATCAGTGTTCTTCTAGAGTCCATTTGACAAAGATAATCACTTTCTTTTCTTTATGGCTTAATTTGTTTTCTGTTCTTTTCGGTTGTGGGTATGATGTGAATCTTAAGATTAAATAGCTGTCCATATTGTCTTAATTGCTTTCTGTTCTTTTCAATTGTGGTTATGATGTTAATCTTATGATAAAATAGGCGTTCGTACATATAATATTTTTGCATTTGCATTTTTTATCCCTTTGTAGCTCCTTATGATCCTCGTGATATCAAAATTTGATGAACAGAGAAGCAATATTCTTGATTTTCCATTAGGCCCAAATTTGTTTGTAGTGCAATTTTATTTGCACTGGTGCAAAACATGGGATTGCAAATGAGTCAAATGCAAATGCAAATTCTGGTTTCTTTTTGTTCTAAGTTGTACTTTGTCTTGCTTGTTTGCAGAATGTAAATGAAGTAAAATAAAACACGAAACAAAGTAATGTAAATTTAAAGCAAAAGTAAACCAACATTTACATCCTTCTGATTTGCACTTATATTAATGCAAATTAGATTGCATTGCAAAAATAATGGAGGCTTGAAAACACCAAATTGTTTTCACGTCTGGAAGTGGTTATAAATGTGAAAGATTAGGTCCATAAATCCAGCCCAACCCTCACAGGACCAGTGAATCACCATTTGACAAGGCTTAGCTAGCCTGACTATTTATGCACATCAAATCAAGGCTAAATAATTGCTCTTGTTAGTCAATTAGTTGGTGGACCATGTGTGAGCCATGTACTCGCTAGGGAGGTAAAGCGCCGTGTCACATGGTTTCAGCACCCATCACCCAATAGATATCTTGGTCCCAACTCCCAAACTAAAATTCTATATGGGATTGAAAGCTTGTGGTCGTTAAATTGAGTTGTCTTTCCTCCAAGTATATATATATATATATATATATATATAAGACTACAGACTACAAAGTAGAAAACTAGTTTGAAAGGTCCATTTGGCAAAGCTTTGATCTCACTCTTTGATGACTTGATTTCTCTCTCTCCTTCTTCTTTATTTTTTTGGTAATGTCTCCCTCTATTCCCGAGTATGAGCCATGAAATACCTTCTTCATGGTTTGGAATCAAAGTAGTTAATACAAGAAAAACTGAGAAGGACAATTCTCCCTCCAAAATCCAAATCAGTTTTCTTAAAGGAAACCCCACCTCACCAAACCCATTTAACCAAATACATATTTTCTATCTCCTACTCTCTCTTTCATTCCCTATATCACCTGCTTTCTCTTCCCTTTTCCTTTACTGTTGTCTCTTCATGTGGCCACTTCGCCGGAAAGTGCCCCTCTTTCTCTCAGACGCCGCCCCAATGAAGCACAGCGGAAGTGGCCGGAGAAGCAGCAATATCTCCATCTTTGTCATCGTCTTAATCGTCCTTATCTTCGCGGTCTTCATATATAATGAAGACGTCAAATCGATCGCACAATTTCCATTCTCTGGTCCTAAACCTCAAGACCTCCAGCAAAACCTCTCGAACTCAGACAACTCAGTGCAAGAAACCGACAAGAAGGATGATCAGAAGCCAATTTTAACGAATTCAAGTAGTAGTAAAGAAGCACAGGAGGAGAGCACTGACGAAACGGCAGAAGCTCTTAATATGAAGACGATCATAGCAAAGCAAGAAAATGAAGCAATCGAATTACCTGTAACCCTCAAAGAAGAAGACGAGGTGGTCGATGTGCCTCCAGAAGATTGCGATCTCTTTACGGGCGAGTGGGTTTTCGACAACGTCTCCCATCCCCTCTATAGAGAAGACGAGTGTGAGTTCCTCACCGCACAGGTAACATGCATGAGGAATGGTAGGGAGGATTCTCTATACCAGAATTGGAGATGGCAGCCCAGACATTGTTCCTTACCCAAGTAAGGAACTAATTTAAACCATCTTAATTTAATTATTTTCTTTCTTTCTTTAATTGTTTTCTTTCTCTCTCTCTCTCTCTATCTCACTCTCTCTCTCTCTCTCTCTCTCTTGCTCTCTCTCTCTTGGATCGTTGATAAGACTTTCTGTTTCAATTTTGTTTATTGAATGTCTTCGTTCAGGTTCAGTGCAAGATTGCTGCTTGAGAAGCTCCGAGGAAAACGGCTTATGTTCGTTGGCGACTCGTTGAATCGGAACCAATGGGAATCCATCGTTTGTCTAATTCAATCTGTCATCCTTCCTGGAAAGAAGAGCGTAAACAAGTCTGGCTCGCTCTCTGTTTTCAGAGCTGAGGTCTCTCTCTCTCTCTCTCTCTCTCTCTGCGCCGTCGGTGCGATTCGGAATTTCGAATAATTCGAGTTGAATATTGAGTAATTTTCTACTTTTCTTTTGACGTGGGAATTTTGTGACGTGAAGGAATATGGGGTTAGTGTGGAGTTTTACTGGGCCCCATTTTTGGTCCAATCAAACTCGGATGATCCAAGGATGCATAGCATTTTGGACCGGATTATAATGCCCGAATCAATCGCGAAGCACGGGAAACATTGGAAGGGCGTGGACTATTTGATTTTCAATACATATATATGGTGGATGAACACCCCTAAGATGAAAGTTCTGTAAGTGCTGCCGTTGTGCTTCAACCATTAATTCCTCAACTTCGATCTGAATTGTGGACCTTATATATATTTTATTTGTACTGATGCAAAAGCCGAGGATCATTCGATGAAGGGGACACGGAATTCGATGAGGTTGAACGCCCAATTGCATATGCAAGGGTTTTAAGGACCTGGGCCAACTGGGTAGAGGAAAATGTCGATCCACAACGTACTTCAGTTTTCTTCAACAGCATGTCTCCTCTTCATATCAAGTAAACCTCTCTCCCTCTCTCTCTCTCTATATATCTCTACAATTTTAAACAAACATAATAGGGAGGCAGGCCGAAAACAAACCGGATTTTCTGCCGTCTACTCTCTATCTACATTCTATCCGCCATGAATTGTAGTCATACATTGTCATTTGTATTGTGAGATGTGCCGCTGCAATTTACCATAAATAAAGAATAGGAAATCTGGATTCTACCGAAAACTCAGATACTAATGAAGTAGACGCAAATAGAGATTCCCCTCACTGTGGTTTCTTAATAAATTAGTCCATCTAGAAGATGAATGATACTCTCCTCCTAAGGGTCTGCTTGATTTATATTCTTTTATTGTATACTTAGCATTTGGCTTACTTGTTCAGTGGTGGTTGTCATTTTAACTAGTCCCTCTCCCACAATCCTATCAACTCTATTTTTCAATGCATTGACCTCACTCCACTATTAATTATTAAATATGGGTCATCAACCTCCAGCTCACCCTATAATTAATATGATAATAAGCAAGAGTTGATCAGGGGAGCCCCCCACGCTAATAATGCTCCTTAACCTTTTCGGTTTATTTAATCAGTAGGGTAGGGTTTACTATGTGTCAAATTTGTTTGATTAGTGAAGTTGATACCTTCAGGACCGGTCCATTGGATCGGATCTCCTCCCATCTTGTTGTATTTGATCCATTTAAAGACGGTTCATGAATTGGGTTTGTTGGGCCCGGATCTACTGCTCATCTTACTGTGTGTAAAAAAGCTACTTATCCGAGTTAACTTTGCCTGTTGGCCCCAACAGCAGCCTATGCTGATATCAATTCATGTTGTTCATGTCTATGATTATAGTTAAAAAGAAAATAAGGAATAATTACATGGTAACATGGCATTCCCAAAAATATTTTCAACGAGTTCGGCTTCGGTCAATTAAGCTCGTACTCAACCTCTTATAACCTTACATTAGGAATATCTATCTATAAAATAAAACACATAATTAAGAAGGTGTTTCCAATACAAGGTTATAAGAGGCTGTTAAAACGGGCTTTACCCTGAGTCCCTGACCGAAGCCAGACTCGTTCTCAACAGCACAGATGCTGTTGGCCCCCTACGGCCCTACAACCAAGGTTCGGATGCGCTCCGCATAAAGCATGTCCCACGCACAACCCACAGCCCATCCCCTTGTAATGGGAAATTGGGAACATCTCTCAGATGGGCTGTGGGGCACGCTTTGTAGAGAGCCCATCCTGTCTCCTATTACCAAGTGAATACACCAGTGTCCTATATACATGCGTGTATTCACTTGTAATTGATTACATAGATCCCATTTTTTATGCAGCATGGCGAATCACAGATCCCAATGTGAGGTAAGCCGGAGCCAATCAACCAATTAGGTTTGTGGATCGGCTTCTGTCAGTGCAAGACCCGTTTGAACAGCCTTACATTGTGGGAGATATTCCCAATGCAAAGCTCTAAAGGTTGTTGGAACGGGTATTGCACTGACTAAATTCGGACCCTTAGGTTTGACAGGAGGAGGGCCTTCTCCAATTTACCCTGTGAAGAGATCACATCAGTGCCCCACAGCACATCTTTACCATGTGTTAGGAACATCTTCCTATAACAAATCCGGGAGATATTCCTAATGCACGCTGAGATGTGCATATAGGGCACTGATGTGATCTACCCTGTGAAAGTAACTCTCCAGGGGGACCAATTTTATCAGTTTGACCAGTTGGTCCAGCCCTAATGTCATGACATACAAGGGTTTGGTTGTTCTGGTATTGGATGATCAAGTTAAATCTGCGTTTATGAGTTGACATCGGCACCCCACACACACCCCACATGCACATCTCAAAATGCATTGGAGGCATCCCGTAGCTGTCATTGGAAGATGTTCCCAATATACGGTTGGGATGTGCTGTGGGGCATCTATGGGGCGCAGATGAGGATTCAGCGTTTATTAAGCAATATATCCTTTTTCAATTGTTGGTTACTTGGTTGGTGAAGCAATGCTTATCTACGAGTTCACATCTGTCCCCCGGAGAATGTGCCCCATGTGCACATCTCAACGTGCATTGAGAACATCTTCCATACTTGTCATTGAGAGATGTTCTCAATACACAGTTGGGATGTGCTGTGAGACATTTTTGGGCATTCTGTGAGGGGCAGATGTGACTTCCTTAGGTTGTGTTTGGTTGCAATGCAAATAAATTTACACTGATGTAAAATCATGACAATACAAATAATTTGTGTAATTCTAACCTATTTTTGTTTTAAATTTTAGCTTATTTTCTTTAATTACAATACATAAATAAATTAAGACATAAATCAGAATAAAATAAAATCCGAAGCAAAATTAAACAAGAATTCACATTTTTTTACATTTACACTCCCCTGCATTTGTACTAATACAAATAAATTTGCACCGCAACCAAACACAGCCTATCTGCTTTAGTGGTAGTTACAAAAGTGTTGATACATTATTGAATTGGTGGTGGGTGCAGGAGCACGGACTGGAACAACCCGGATGGGATCAAGTGTGCTAAGGAGACAATGCCGGTGGTGAACATGACCACCCGGTTGGAGGTGGGCACAGACCGTCGGCTCTTTGTCGTGGCTGCCAACGTGACACAGTCGATGAAGGTGCCCGTCCGCTTTCTTAACATAACAACCCTCTCCGAGTACCGGAAGGACGCACACACCTCTGTCTACACCATTCGTCAAGGCAACCTACTCACACCCGAACAGAAGGCCGATCCCGCCATATATGCCGATTGTATCCACTGGTGTCTACCAGGCTTACCCGATACATGGAATGAGTTACTCTATACCCGTATCTTCTCTCGCTCATGACCGAACAACTCCCCTCCCCTCTTTTTTGTTATTCCTTGCTTTGTAATTCAAATATCGTCCCCATTTTTTTATTGGGTACCAAACTTTTTGGTCTTTCAGATCTGTTTGTTTGCAGTGTAAAGCTGAATCAAGTATATATTTTGCACCTGTTCAGTTTTGCATTTGTATGTTTGTAATTATGATTTGTACTCTAATTTCATATAAAATTTGTACTTTTTGTCTCATTTGCACTTATTGTTGGTGCAAATTTTATATATCAAGAACTTATGTAATTCACACCACCTTCCTACTACTCCAATTCTCTGTTATATAAAATGGAAAACCTTATCATTTTGTTTTCTATGTCATTCTCAAACAAATAACCCTCCTCCTATTTCCATTTTCTTGCAATATAAGGTGGGATTATATCATTTTTTTATTTATTTTTATTTTTCATAAACAAATAAAACAAAGTCAAATTTGAGCAAACCAAAATTTACACTTAGCCCACTTGCACTTCCAATATTTATTAGGAAAAATTCCACTTTAGTACCCTGAATTTTGCGGGTAGTGTCAAGTTAGTACTCGAGCTTTCAAACATGTCACTGCAGTACCTGAACTTTCAAAAAGTGTCAAGTTGGTCCTTGTCGTTAACCGACCATAAATTATTTGTTGAAAATGTCAAAACTACCCTTCAAAAGAAGACATTGTTCATTGTCTTCTACCTTGAGACTGAACCAGTTATCTTCAAAGAAAAAAGTAGAAAAAATATGAAATATGATAGAAGGAAACAATAACTAAAAGCAAAGAAATAACTAGACAATAATGTGCTCCAGATCTAAATGTAGAAGACAATTACTTCATTAATCTAGAATCTAAAACACCTCAATCAATTCAGTCTCAAGGTAAAAGACATGAATAGTGTCTTCTTTTGAAGGGTATTTTTGGTATTTTCAATAGATAAATGACGATTGGTTAATAACAGGGACCAACTTGACACTTTTTGAAAGTTTAAGTACTACACATTAGAAAGTTTAGGTACTAATTTGACACTACCCCCAAAGTTCAGGGCATGATTTTCAAAATCGGACCAGACTGGATGGTTGGACTGGAAAAAGCAGCACCGGTCAGGTGATCGGTTCTATTTTACCCCAGAACCGTTATTTCGCCAAAAACCATTGATTTGATCAACAAACCGCTGACCCGGGTGTTCGAATCGTTCAAATTGTCCAACAATTTTGGCTTTTGTTTTTTATTTTTTATTTTTTTGTTAGAAAGAATTGTCTGTTTGGTTCGAACAATCAAATCATTCGACCCGGAACCGGACCCCTGACCGGTTCAGTTTTTAAAAACCTTGATTCAGGATGCTAAAGTAGAATTTTCCCTATTTATTATTCTATGCTAATACAAATAAAATTTATACCGAAGCCAATGCACGTAGCCTTCTTGGTTATTGCCTAAAGCAAGAATGCATTTTTAGGTCTTAGATGAATAAGATGAATAGTAAAACATGACCTCTTGGAAATATAAAAATAAAATGGCAGCCAGGTATTGAATAGAAATTAAAAAAATAAAAAAGAAAACAATAAATGTGTTGCATGCACTGACGGGTAGTACCGTAGTAATGCTTTAATGATGGACCAATGGAGATTACTTTGAACCAACCCTTTTATTGTTGATAACTGAGAGATAGCGCAATTGGTAAATTGGATGATTCGTCTTAGCGAAGATGCAGCTTAAGTCCCGCTACTATCGTCTTTGAAGTTTGAAAGAAAAAGAGTTGGTATATAAATATATACCAAACTGGTTATTGACGTGATGTTATGCTGTTCATAGAAAAAGTAATGTCCCCAGTGGAGGATTCAGGCATTGATTAATACAAAAGAAATAAACCCTTTTATTGTTGAAAATTCCAAGTGATTGTAGGTAATGAAGCGTTTAGAAGATCCTTTATATGTCAATGAATTTAACAAGAAATAGCCTTTTCTATTTTTTTCCTCTATGTCAGAGACTCAAAGCTTGTTGTTAGAGATTCGAACAGTGGCTTGGTTGTAAGGTAACCTCACTAGCTCACCTCTATCATCACCTGTGATAGAATTCTCAAACCCAATTGATATGGGAACTGGTCAGAGTCATCAAACTAAAAGAAAAAAGAAAAGGAAAAAAAATCCAACCTCCAACCCAGTCTTAACCAGGGTTTGAAGTATCAGTACACATTGGTTGATATTCTCTGATGTATATCAGTTTGGGGCTCACAACATGGTTTTCAAAATTGGATCGAACCGGACGGTCAGACTGAAAAAATCGGGAACTGATCAGGTGACCAATTTCGATTTTCTCTAAAATCAGATTTTTCATAAAAATCGTTGATTTTAATCAACAAACTGCTTACTTGGGCGATTAACCTTTCAAACAATTCGAATGGTTTTAACCGGTTTTCATTTTTTTATTTTTTGTTAGAATGGGCCGACCATTCGTTTCGGTCTCCGGGACGATTTTAAAAACCATAGCTCACAATACATGGCACTGATGGAATGGATTCAAATTTAATGTCTATTTCAATTAGAAAACTAAAAAAATAAATAAATAATTTATTGGTCATTAAAATAATAACTTTTCATGATTTGAGCCATGCATTAGTTCTTCCACTATTTCCCATGATTTTCCAACTGTATCACAGTAGTTCACACGTCATATAAACTATTAAAATATTTTCTCATGTGTATATATCCTATTAATATTCACTTGAGACTCAGATTTAGTGCTATAATATCTTTATGATTTATTTGACTTTTCTTATATTCATATATTTTATAAATGTATTTTTATTAATACATCTCTTAAAATTATATTCATGATACCAATACTTTATAACTTTGGCCCTAACCCATACCCTATATATTAATAAAACCAGAAGAGGCCTTACCATTAATTGGGTTTATTGTGTTTAACCCGATCAAACCAACAATAATTAATAAGCCTTTAGTTGCAAATGGCCCTACTCTTGTCTTCTCAAAATATTTTACATATCCCCTATAATATGGCAACGTTAGGTATCCTATATGAAATATTGTAGATAAATAATTAGAAACAGATAAACTTAGTCTAAATTGTAATCATGGAGTTTATAATGTAGACGTAGAAGTTAATTATTAATAATTAAAACTCAAAATGCAGACCCAACTCTCTCTATAACAGGGTCCAGTCGGTTAGGTAATGGCCTTTCTTTCAAAATTTATCAATTTGTAACTTATCGGAATCAAATGTGTGGAATGCTGAGTGTCACTACTCTCAAATACTAAAACTTTTTATTCAACCGCTTGGTATATTATAAGAGTTTATGGGACTGAGTTGGTATATACAGCTCACACAGACGGACTTTTTCTTTCTCTATCTTCCTAATTAAGTTTTCATGCCAGAAAAGGGTGAGACAGATAATAGAAGTTAGTTAGTCAACTCAATCATGTTCTCTAGCTAACTTCTCTGAGTTATCAAGAGAAAATTTAATATCAACTGTACAAGTTAAATACAAACTAGACTTGGAGTTACATAGCCAGAAAACGGATTATCCATATTCCTGAATTGTATATTCAAATTTGGATGTAGCTCAGTTTTTATCAAGGTTTTAAAAACTAATCCGGAACCAAAACTGAATCGTACATTCAAATTTGGATGGCCCATTTTAATAAAAAAAAAGTAAAATTAAAAAAAAAAGAAAAGCCAAAACTGTTGAACAGGTTGAATGAATTGACAGTTTAACTGTTCAGATCAGCAGGTCATTGATCAATTCAATGGTTTTTGGCCAAGGATCAAGTTTGAAATAAAATGAAACAGACTGCTTGAATGATTTCTGGGCCGAGAGGTCCAACTGTCCAGGTCAATGGTGATTCAAAAATATTGGTTTTGACTATTGACTCTATTTGTTTACAGTGCAAATTTTCACTGATATATATAAATGTATAGAAATTGCAAACTGCTTGAGCCTAAAATCTGGTTTCTTTTGCCTCATCTTTTACTTTCTTTTGTTGGTTTGTGAGGAATAAAATAGGATGTAAAATGATGTAATCCCCATTCTATGCAAAAGTGGATGACGGCAGGCCTAATGTTATTTGTTTGGGGGAGAGCAAAAAATAGAAAATAAGATGATATTTTTCCCACTTAATATGCCAGAGAACGTAGGAGGAAGGTGATGCAAAATTTGCACCATTTTTTGGATGCAAGATGTGCACTGTCGATTTGTGCAAGCTCTGCACCTGATACAAGTGAAAATCATTGTTCTAAACAGAAGGGTTTGATTCAATATAATACATAATTTATTCGTGGGTGCTTGTGTCGGTGATAGATGTAACACCCTCCTTCGGATTAAATAGGGTTTGATTCAATATTGGTTAGGGTGCAAAGTCGACGTAAGCCCATTATAGGACATCTCAACTAGGGTTTGATTCATGGTGGGTTCATCTCAACGTTTTTATTTTAACAAGCCTGGGACAAAGTTAAACCCAAGCCCATTATAGGCCAGACCTAGGCCCCCGCTTTCAGCCAATCCCACAATTGTTTGTTAATAATGGTAGTTTCATGGGTAAAATTGTATCACATAGACCTTATATAGGTAAATGAAAATTTCTGAGTGGAGAATAAATGTTATAAATTTTTCTGATAAAAATTGCCCCTATGAAATAAAGGTAACTGCACTTATCGAGATAAGCGCATTTATCCAAGTGAGTTACCAAAAAAACAAACTAAATTCAAAATGGTGAGATACCAAGGTTTTTAAAATTGAACCGGATAACGAATTGGTCAGGGGTTCGGTTTTCAGGTCGAACAGTCCGACCGTTTGAACTGAATGGACAGCCAGTTCTAACAAAAAAATAAAAATAATAAAAAACGGTCAAAACTGTTGGATAGTTCAAATGGTTCAACTGCCCAGGTCAGCAATTTGCTAACCAAATCAATGATTTTTGGCAAAATAACAATTCTGAAGTAAAATGGAACGGTCACCTGCCCAGCTCCCGTTTTTCGGTCTGCCCATCCGGTCCAGTCCAGTATTGAAAACCATGTGAGTTACTCAAGATAACTTTTTTTATGCTTTTAAAGATAACTTTTTTTCTTCATGGGGCCACACAACTCAGGGGTAGCCAATCCCCATCTCCTTAACCCCCCCC